ACCACCCGCAGAGCTCCCTCCTCAGCCAGCCCCTCAGCATGCAGCAGGTCCCCCAACAGCCCCTCCTGTCCCCCCCCATGGCACTACAGGTACAGCCCCCCATCAACGCCTCGCCTCCAGGGCAGCAGGTAGGTTGCTCAGAGGGAGAGAGGGTTTGCAGTATGAATTGGACCGTTTCCCCTCTTCCCGTTGGCTCTGTTGGTTTCTGGATGGTTTGGGGATGTTGGGTGTCGATGTTGTTCCCAAAGGAGTCTTCTCCTGGCTCCGTCAGCTTGCAGGTCTTGTAGTTTGGGGGTAACGTTTTCAAGAGTGTTGAGCTGGGAGCACGAGCAGCTCCATAAATGGGGCAGAGTTGTCAGACCAGAGCAATGAAGGCTTTTTCGGAGGGGGCAGCTGCAGGAATTGGGGATGTCCCTGGTAAAAGCTCCTTGTGCACGTGGTCCCCCAGCCTTGTCTGGGGAGGGAGTTTTGCCAGTGGTTGTCTAAAGCAATGGGTTGGATAGTCTGTGAGAAACTCCTCCCGTGATATTGCTGAGAGTAGAGGGGGCTGGAAGGGCACGGGATAAGGGGATCGGCAGGAGGAGAAGGAAAAGGATAGAGGGAATGTCACAAACGAAATATAAAATCAATTCTTTTTCCAAAAACTGCCTGGCAATAGGAGAAAATGACGTTGGTGGCAGAGAGCCGAGAGGATGCAATGTGTGCTTGCATGTACGCTTACGCTAACAGCACAGCAGCAAAGCAAATCCCAAAGACCAGTGCTAGGAAGGCGTGAAACCTGCCGAAGCAAAGCATCCTTAGCCATGCTCGGCTCAGCCCGGCGGCCCACGCTCGGGGAGCCAGCCTGCGGGGTCAGAGTCTCTCCTCTTCAAACCTGCTATTAAGAAAATGTATCTGGAAGAAAAACTGGCTATAGCAAAACCCATTTCCTATACCTTATATAGAACTTGCTAGTATACGAACGAGGAGACGAGTGGTTTCCAGAGTTTCTCCATCTGCAATATGAACTGGACAAACTATTCACGGTAGAGGACATATGCTCTGGATTCACAGCTGCTGCCATTTACTTGATGATACTTTTAACTGCAGTATTCACCCAGCTGGCTGAATAATGGGGTTTTCACGTGCTTACTAGCTATGTATCACAAAATTCATACAGTACTTTAGCAATGAATAAAGTTTTCTTTCCCATCATATGACCTATTCAGTTTGGGGCTAACTTTGAGAAAATAGAAGTTGTTAATTTAGGAACAGGTATTGCAGTGGATGAAAACCAAAGGAGAGCAGGGATGTGGAAGCACGCTTATACCTGCCCATAATAAAAAGACAGCACATGTGAGAAGGCCAGATCCTTAATCAGATTTTAATTTCCAGCCTGCTCAGGGTATTCCAAGTAACTTCTCCAGCACGGTGATTGGGCTTTAGCTCTACAAAAGCAAAAGTGGCTTCTGTAATTTGGTGATAGCCTACGTCCAGAAATGAGCATAAAAGGGGATCCTCACAATCGCTTTAATTGGGGTCATTGCTGTTGCTGAGGGCAGCATTTTGTGAAGCTTCATTCCACATAATTTTGTGAATAAAAAATACAAAATTAAAAAAAAAATACCCCACACTGCCCAAATTTGGATATTTTGGAGAAAATCATGTTCTTAGTCAGGTAACTACCAGGAGTCTTGTTTATATACATTGCCTAATGTTACCTAATTAAGCCAACCCCGCAAAATGGGGAAAGCTAATCGGCTTTCAGATAAAACAGTCCCGCAGCATCCTGGTTAAATTGCTAGCGGTGACAACCGATGGAGAGGGCGTTGCTTGTGTGGATGTTCCTTACCTTGGTGCCGTCCATTATGACGGGCTAACGCCTTACTGCGGAGGGGGCTGCACCTGAAGTGGAAAACCGGTTTAGATTGCCAGACTGCTGATGCAAAGGCTTTCGTGGCTGCGTGTCTTCCGCAGCCGAGGAGGGAGGTCCTGAAAAACAAGAGGGGGGCAGAGGGATATAAACCAGATGTTGCTGCATTGACACTTGCTTGGGACAGCTCGTATTCTGCACAGTCCCACCGCAGTGGTTTTGGGTCCTGGGCTTGGACCTGCTGCAGTCCCTGGGGCTGCCCCTCCACTCCGCACTGCCACGTTTTTGGGGCAACGCATGTAAATGTGTTTATGCAATATTATTACATCTGCTGTTTCTCCTGCTGTGTATACTCCTGTAACCCTTCCTGTCCTTTCCACCCTGCAGGACTTCTCACATATTTCGTCTGAGTTTCAAAACAGTGTTGGACCCCGTTCGCCTGGTGCATCAAACCCTCCAGGAAGCACCGAGTGGGACAACGACTACCCCAGCAGGGAGTGTGGGATTAACCACTGCAGGCCAGTAGACAAAACAGCGCGTTGCTAACACGCTTTCTGTTATCTGAACTGTGACAGTGTACAACAGCTGAGCATCTGCCCTAAAATGTGCTGCAAGCTGGTAGGCTAATTATGGGCAATGACGTTCAAGGTTTCCTCTTCTCTATAGGCTCACTGAAGTGATGCTGTGGAAGCAGGTAACTTAAAAATCATAGATAAATTCCTCATTGGGCATGAAGAGGTTTCCTTTTTTGTGTGTTGCCATCTCATTAGCAATGGAGGAGTTGGACACGTTTCCTTCTAGAGCAGGCCAGGGAAGCCCAGTCTCCCAAGCAGAGTCCCTGGAGGTCTGAACGTGGCCATGTCCATAAGCAATGTCCTTATGTTCCTAAAGTGATTGCTCTTATCTCTGAGGCCACAACCTCCCGTAGTTGTCTCTAGCAATGGGTCCCTTGCCTGTCCTGGGGTTTCACAATAGTGTACAAAGCCTCGTCCTCCCAAGAGCCACACGATGCTCCAGACCCCTACACCTTGCAGGAAAAGACCTCAGACATTGGCACGGATCTCCCCTCTAACACCCTACAAGCTCTGCCATGAATGTACCGGCACAAAGGTCCCTTGAATGCTTGAATTCCCCAATAAATAAAAACATCAGGATAGTCTCAAAGCTGGGGAACAGGGAGGCTGTGAAAGCCATTTCCAACCTCTGCCTAACCCACAGCTCTTGGCCCAGCAATAATGGTTTGGAGACGGCTATTGTGCTCTGTGAAACAGGCACGTGGTTTGCTGGGAGAACAGGTAGGGAAGGAGCCTTGGTAGCTTCGGAGCATTGTTTGATTTGCTTGAAGTACTGCAACATAGTGCTTTCACTGGAGATAATAGCAAGCCCCCCAGCCTTTTCAGAGCACAGCTCCCGTCTGTGCCAACAGTGCACTTACATAGGCTGGGCTGGGCACAGACCGTACAGATATTTATTTCTTTCAGAAAAATAAATAACTTGCTGAGCCATTAGAATATCGCTGCTGTCTGCCTGCCTGAGGGAGCTCAGCTACATGGGTCAGTCTGGGTTCTGCCGGCGACCTTTGCGTGGTCCTTCCTGAAGTCTCTGCAGACAATCTGAAAGAAGGAACCTGTTTGGGACTTGATGATAAAAGTCGCTTTAGATGCTGTGGGCAAAATGCTAAAGATGCTTGGAGGGTCATGGCATATGGATCCCAATTGCTAGAGGTGCTGAGCAGAGGCAGCTCCCACAGAAATTACCCCCCCTTAGAAATTAGGATCTCTTCTTTTGGGGTCAGCTGGGAAAATACTTGATTCCCTCTGCGAATCCCACTGCCTGGGCCCCATGCAGAAAACTCAGGGCACTCTAGAAATGGGTGACATGCTCCCATAGCAGTCAGGAATGAGTTTTATGTTGCTAAAACAAGCTCTGTGACATCTGGCTGGAGTGCCGTGTTGTAAGCAGAGGGTCCATGCAATTCGTGATCAAAGCTCATGCATTTCATGCCTTTGTCAAAGCAGAAATATCGAATTTCATGGGTTTATCACAGCTTCCTGGAAAAACAATCATTCTAAGACCAGACAGATTATGTAGAAACTTCCAAATAATTATTAGAGTAGATTATAGCAAAGAACTCGGATATAGATCAGTACCACAGAGACTGCTTAGCACACCGAAAAATGTCCTAGTCTCTGTTAAGGAAGGAACCCATCTTCCGTGAATAGAGACAACACGAGCTGCTGGCAGCCCAGCTCCCAAAGCTGGCTTGTTCTCATTTCATTGTAAAGCCTGGTGCATCAGCAATGCCATCACCTCCTGCTCCTGCTAGCCCCTGGTGTTTGCTGCTTAAGTGCATGCTCTGCATCACTTGTAGCATCCACACGCGTTTGTAGCACGGCAGCCCCTGTGTGTCTCAAGGTTACACTTGTGTCGAGAAAAGAGATTATCAGGTTCTCATCGTCTTTCTGTCTGGACTGCTTTTGTAAAGCCTGGTGCATCAGCAATGCCATCACCTCCTGCTCCTGCTAGCCCCTGGTGTTTGCTGCTTAAGTGCATGCTCTGCATCACTTGTAGCATCCACACGCGTTTGTAGCACGGCAGCCCCTGTGTGTCTCAAGGTTACACTTGTGTCGAGAAAAGAGATTATCAGGTTCTCATCGTCTTTCTGTCTGGACTGCTTTTTCCGATGTACTTTGCACTGATTTGCAAGCGACGGTCAAAGTTCCCCTTGGGCTTTTCCGCGCCGTGAGCTGGGCGGGAGGATGCGGGGCGAGCTGCGTGCCTGACCGGCCCCAGCAATCAGCAGGACTCAGGCAAAGCGGGGATAAAGGGAAGGCAGGTCTTGTTGGGTTTGATTCATCAGTGCAATTTTAGGTATAATCGGGAAGTCTTTGGATCATGTAATTGCCCATTTCCACCTCAAAACTGCATTCAGCTTAATTGCAATTAAAGCAGCACTCTGAGGAGCAAAACCAGCAACTGGCTGGAAGGAAAAAAGGTTATTTTCTGTTGTGATGTGGCTCAGCTGTAGAGTCCCAGATTCCTGAAAGAGAGGATGGTACCAACTGCCCCAGCACACAGGCAGTCCTGTCTTGCTCGCCAGGTTAGGATTTTTATTTCGTGTCTGACCTTGGTATTTCTTTAGCTTCCAATATCTGTTGGCACTGGGTTAGCTGGGCTAAAACCCCGCAATCCTGCATTTTCTTTTGTGCTTGTCATCCAGACAACTTCTGAAAAACTAACAAGGTTGCCTTTCTCTCTGTCCTTCTCTATCTAATAAGAGAACTGCTGTAGGTTTTTTTTTTCCTTTTCCCAGCCTATCAGTGCTAGTTAAAATGCCATTAAACGACACTTCTTCCCTTAGGCCCCTCAAATTCTAGGATCCTGTGAGCAGACACTCCTTAATTCATAAATCAGCCATGTTAGAGAGAGAGTTTTTAATGTTTCTTAGCTCATGCTCTTCCCATTCTTAATGATTTTGTGCTTACTGACTTCCAGCCAATTCTCCCAGCTCTTTCTGGGCTTAAGCCCAAGCTCTCCTAGATTGTGAGCAAAGACACGGGTAGCATTTCTCAGTTCCTGCTTAGTAGGTGACTATCACTTCCCACAAGCAACTGTAGCATACGATTTTATTGCTTTTTGCCATCGCATCATCAACTACTTACACAGTCCCCTGTCTCCCTCACCTGACAGCCTTATTCTTGCTCTTTCCCAGGCACCCACTGAGTACCTGGGTTTTGCCGTGACTTTCTCCAAGGGAACTAACTCACCTGCAGCAAAGGTGCAGCTTGGTTTACAATCACTTGCAAATCTTTCTGAATTCCTCAAGGCACCTCGGCTTGTTTTTTTCTGCCCTGTCTTCTGGTTACAAGTCTTTCCATACCAAAGCTGTCTCCAGGGTTTCGTTTACGTTTGTCTCCTACCATTTAGGTATTTTGGTGATAACACGGAACTGGATTCATCTTTCTATGTCCTTCCTCTCATTTGCAAAGCATGGATTAGATTCTTTTTGGGTACCATCATTTAGCAACTTCTCTCCCCTCTTCCCACTCTCCTTTGGGCTAAAAGATGGGACACTCTCAGTTATGCCTTATCCAGAAGCAAAAAGACGTGTACAGCCACTTCATCCGGACATTTATAACCTCGCTAATTCCTGCCAACGATGAAGTGATCCTCTCCAAATGGGCGAATTTTTCAAATCAGGAACTAAATGAGCAAACAGTGTAAAAAGGCAAGGATAAACCATCACAAATGCACTTAGTTTGGATTCAATTATTTATGGTAATACTTTGTAATGAACTGGGAAATGTTCTGTAGCGTATTTTGTAAAATTAATGAAGTTTTAGTACTGGAATACCTCACTGCTGCTCAGTGGCATTAAATCTTTGCTGAGTGCAGTAGGGAAGTCTCTGCATTTTAAATGCAGATTATAACATGTGGAGATTAACAAAGTGCGGACTCTCCTGCGCTCTATCAGAAGACAGCTCTATCAACAACAGCATTACCTTGCTGTCTGCTTTTTCCCTATTATTCCACCCATAAGTACACCCACACCGGAATCTCCCAAAGCTTTGTAATGTTCTTCACCACCTTTTAAGGCCAAGATGCCTTTACGGAGCCAATGAGGTTTCCATCAGGTCTGCATAGATGATAAAACCCATTAAAGTGCCTGGATTTCAGAGCAAAACCCACATAGGAGGTCAGCCAGGGGAGCGGGACTTCAGCCATTCCTCTCTCCACTATGGCTATCTGGGCTCCCTCGTAGGACACTGCTGATGGCAAGTTAAAAATGCCAGCCCACACGGAGGGTTGAAGGCTAGTTCAGCCTCCTTGAACGGAGGGTTGAAGGCTAGAATCTCCCTGGGTTCCTTTTACCTCCTGCTGTCTTCATCAGACCAACGGGAAAGACCCGTTAATCCTGCTGTCTCAAAGAGGTTTTTTCCCCTCGCTTCCTGATTATTAATTTTTCTAGCTGTACTTATTTTGGGAGAGGAGGAGAGAGGCATCGAGCAGATGATGTCTCCTACTCCCATGCTCTTCAGCCATGAAACTTACATTTAAATCCTCCTGGACACTCGCAAGTATCTTCAGGCATAAGCCCCTCAATCCTATTTTTGAGACCTCCTACTCATTTTGTAGTGTCAGAATGACACATTTTGTCCAAACGCAAGTGTACATTTTCTAAATCTCCATGGCTTAGCCTAAGGACAGCGTGTGATGAAGAAGGGGGCCGGTGGCCAAGGGGCTGATTTGCTCCACAGCACGATGGTGGAGCTGGTACCAGCATCACGCTGGTGTGCTCTGCAGGGAAATCCAGAGTTGGCCCTGCCCTGCAGCCCCAGCAAGAGCGAAAATTAAGCCACAGGAAGGAATTTATGTCTTAGCCCTTATTGTTGAAATTCAGGAAGAACTAAAATTGCACCAGGCTCTTAAGTGCCTTCTGCTTGCTTCATCTCTGCACACCCATCCCTCCATGCAGACCACTTTACATTTTGCATTATGGAGTGCCATAAAAACCATGGCACGGCTGAAAACGGGTGTGTGACCGGGTGTGCAAATGCTAATTTCGGCTCCTCCAGGCGACTTCCCCGCTGTTTCCCTGCCCGTCTCATCTTCTGCCTCTGGTTTCTCTTACAGCATGCTGCCAAGGGACAAGGCACTCTACCTCACCTAAAACTCAACATCTCTTTTCGCGGAGGCTCAGACGAAGGACACTTGAGAGGGTCTAACTTACAGACTACCCGGAGAGGCACCGAGCAAGTCGTACGGACGAGAGAGCTGCCACTGCACCTCGTCACTGGCTTCGTTTCCAGGCTCTAAGAGCAGTTGTCTTTTATTATTTTTGAACTCTAAAGTCTACTTTCTGTGGAAGCCCAAAAACCTCATAAATCATGAAGAACAAAAAAAAAAAAAATTACAAAAAAAAAAAATAAAATAAATAAACACAAAACCAACAAAAAAAAATAAACTAAGGACACGGTTTTTCTGCTTGCCATCAGCTTAGCTACAGACTATTTTCCTAGTGAACTGCTTTTAGACGCAGCATAGGCCCAGGTCTGGTGTCCTACAGCATTAGGCCAGCTCAGTAGGAGGATGCACTCTTTTGACTTGCTAACAGCACTAAACTTTGTGCAAGAAAATGTGAAGTTTGTGTGAATATTGTACATGCAAAGGCCTTGGATGTCCGGCAAAAAAAAAAAAATAGAAAAAATAAATAAAAACTATTGCTAGGTAGGTGGGGGGAGAGAGCAAAAGGCAAAATACGAGAGGAAAAATTGAAAAAGATCATGAAAATATAATTTGTTGGATAGTTGTAAGTAGTTTACTAAGTGTTTTAGAGCTGTGCTAAAGACATCTTTAAGATTTTTTTGTGAAAAAAATTAGTAGTTTACTTTATAGTAAAAGCATTTTATATTAATTGTAGCACATTTTTTAGTTATACATAGAAGGGAGATGTGTATAAAAAAAAAACAAAAACAAAACAAAAAAAGCCTGCCAAACTTGTTTCTATTATTTGTACAGCAAGAAATGGACAATTTATATCCATGTTGTATGGCATTATTATATTTTTCTGCCATATGTCCATCTATTTAAAAATTGCTGACAATGATTTTTGTCTATTTATGAAAAATTAGAGAGCATAATTACAGTTTCTCATAAGGTGCATTTTTGGGTTTTTTTTATTTTTTATTTTGTTTGACAGTGCTGCTTTTGCAGCACCTGGCACATTCGGTTCACAATGCTTATCTTACCTTTCTTTATAATAAAATATATGAAAAGTAGAACTGAACCAGTCTCTCCTTATTCTGGGGGCAGACCCTGGAAATGGCCCGGCCAGCGAGGTCCTTGCCTTGTCCTTCTCCTCCTCAGCTTTCCCATCCCTCGCTCCTCTCCCATCACATTCTTGCTTTCTCTTGCTCCCTCTTTGCTCTGGGCCAATACTACTTAATTAAGTATTTCTGCAGCCGCCCCCAGCAATGAAAGCTATCACTGAGCAGCGGCAGACAGACAAGCATTTTTCCTTACATTTTTCTTGGAAAACGCCAACTTTACACTCAGCAGAGGGTACTTTCCTTTCTCAAGCAGTAACTTACTGCCCTATGCATTTCCTTACAGAGCTATCCCATACCCCAACCATGTTACATTTCCTCCCTTCTACGGACCCTAAAGCAGATGGAAAATATCCTCACAGACACGAGGGTCACCAAGCTGCCTGGTGGCTGCTGGCAGATGCCCACAAGAGCCCCATTTCCAACTTTGCCTAGGAAGCATGGATGAGAAGGTCACGAGAAGGATGGAAAATTCAAATGGCATAAGGATGGAATTGGCATTTTCACCCTTCCATAGCAAGGATGGAAAATTCAAAAGGCATAAAAAATAACAGGATGTGAAATTTCACACCCTGAGCCACCTGCCTGGAGGAAACTTATTAATTAACGTACCATTTTAAGCCCGTTTGCAGACACAGCTTGGCCGTAGGAGTCTCAGCACGTTGTGTCACTAGCAGGCAAGTTACTGTCATTTAGATAAGGTCCGATTTCTTCCAGTGTGCACTTAAATGGGAACACATGAAGCTGGGGCATGGCTGTGTTTCTCATGCAATTTGGGGCATCGGGTCTCATTCAGGTCCAAATGCCACAGCTAAGGTCCTGTTTTTCCCCACTGCTACCCGTCTATGAAAGTGGCCGTAACATACACGTTCTCCAACGACTTGAAATAACTTGTTTCAAGCGTTCAGACCATTTTAATAAATGAGGGAAAAGCTCACCCTTTAAAGTTAAGGGGGTTTTTTGATGAGGTAAATGGTCATTTTCATCGCTTAATGGTTTTACATATGCTACAAAAACTTGCTGACATGCCCTGTGCCCACTGCAGTAAGTCCCCCTGAGAATACCAAGCCCCAGCTCTTGCTGGCCCATGGGCCAGCGGACAGGGCAAGGAACATGTGGTGGGAGTTGTCCTGCTATGTCCTCTGGTTGACACCTGCCGTAGCATCATTCGACAGACCCTGCTGGCACATCAAAGAAGACCCACCCCAAAATCCCACCCAGAAGCTGCCTGCTCTGGATGGGGCAATGAGGAAGACCTTTTGAGATGGAGGGGTGATTTGGGGCATGGTGGGTTTGGACCAAGCAGTCCCCAGCAGACCACCCTGGATGCCTGTAGAGGTGGAGATAACGACACCACGGCAAGGCACGGCAAGTCCCTGGCGATGCAGGAGGCCATAGAGGCTTGTAGAAATCCAGACAGTTCACAAGCTCCTCCTGCAATCCGCCTGACATATAATCTATGTTCTCCTCCACTTCTGAGGCCATCACAGTGCTATTGCAAGGCCGTTGAGTGGCAGTCCTCTTTGCTGAGAACAATCGCTTTCTCGGCACGAGAGAGAGACGTGAAATCAAGACGTAACTCTGTGAATCAACTTTCATTAGAGCAGTTACACTTTTAACCCCAAGCTTCCTGCTCTCTGCAAGTATAAACAGAGAAGGTGCCTGTTCCTTGTCCCAGTGACCATGGTGACTCTGTATTTTATTCTGGTATAAGCACAGCAAAATCTCACCAACCAGCGGTGGAGATGGGCAAGCGAGGAGAGCTGCTGGATGAAGCTGTAAACGTGGGCCTCTTCCTCGCTGGTGGCCAGCTTAAGGCCATGAATCTCCCCTTTTATCTCTGTAGTCTTGAGCCATTTGAAAATAAAACATGGAGCGTAATAAAACTTCCTAAGGAGCAGCGCGAGCAATAACATTGCAGCCCAGCTTGGCTAGCTGTGATGAGCAGATAATTACTCTAATATCAGAGCCAGGAGATTTCTCCTCAATATGCAATTATTAAAATAAGGGGGGCAAAAATAGGACATGAAGATGAAAGCCTATCTTGAGTTATCACAGTAAGGAGGTAAGACTTACTCCAGGGAGAGTTTCTGAAATGTTAATTTTTTGTGTGCGTGGCAGGTAAGTGGCCTTGAGACTCTGAAATCACAAGGAAGAGGTTTCCAGCCCTGGAAGGGGGTCTGGAAGAGGTCATCACTGGAAGCATTGCGTTACGTCAGGTCTCTGTGCTTTATCTTTTCTGAAGGAAGGTGCCCGTCCACGATGCCCAGCAGCCCCGTGGACCCACGCCCCAGCAGGCAGCCCCCGGCGGCATCATCTGTGCGTGCTGTGACAGTGGTTTTGAAGCCCTTTGAAAGCCTCCACTGAGAAGATCTCCTCCGTTCGTGGGACCACAGTGCAGGGAGCCACTGAAAGGTGACCTTGCCAATTTAGGATTAACTGTACAAAGCAATAACCACACTTCTAACGACTTTCTAGCCATCCCACCTACATTTCTGCAGGGTTGCCCTGATGCCTCTGCTTGTCTGCAGGCAGGCGATGGCAAAGGGCTGGTGGCTGCCGTGGGGCAGCCATGCAGGGCACAGCGACCCATCTCCAGCAGCAGCGATGCGGGAGCCATCTCGGGGATGCAGGGCAGTTGGCTATTATAAAGCCCAGGGCATTAATAAGAAATTGTGAGACATTCCAGACCACTTTAATCCCTACTAATCTCTAAATTTGCATGACGGCAGCTGTGCTTAAATGACATTCCAGCTGTTGGCTAATTGTTGTAGACCTGGAATTGCTCCAGGGAAACAACTGGGAGCTGAGCCTCCCAGCCACAGTCACGGCTGCCTCCCAAAATGTGTCCCACCTCCACGAGCGGGTTCCAAGGGCAGGCGAGGGCAAGCACCCAGGGGCAGCGGGCAGGACAGTGATGGCATGGCCAGCTGAACCTCTCCTTGGTCTGAACCCTTGAGCTATTATTAACATTTGTAGAACATGTGGTAGCTGGGTCTCAAGAAGCCATCCGACAGCCCCTTGCACCTCAGGGCAGGGTCAGCTCTTCCTAAACCCTGCCCTGTGTGCCTAACCTCCCTTTAAAAACCTTTACATTCCAGACAGATAACCTAAATCTCTCTCCCTACAACACAAATCCCTTGCTTTTGAACATAGGGAAGAATTTATTGCTTTCCTTGTCATGGTAATTTTTTCCATATTTGAAGAAGGCTGTTGACTCCCCCAGCCCTCCTCTCCACCTGCCCAAGCAGTTGCAATTGCAGAGGCCGAGTTCCCGGGCAGGGCGAGCTGCAGCACATCCACTTTTAGTCGATGAGCACCAGCGAGATCCTCGAAAGGCTCCGAAACAGCTTTGGGGCGGGGGGGCTCGCAGGGCAGCCGTGCTCTGCAGCACCATGGGGGAGGCGGGACCCAGGCAGGTGTTCCCCGGCGTCGGGCTAATGATGGAGAGGGAAGTTAAGAAGCATAGGCAGGGAGAGACCTGGCTAATTGACTTTGGTTTATGAAGACGTAATTAGCAGCACTGTAGGATGTAATGGGGAGTTTAACAAATCTCATCAGCGGGATCTTGGTGATGTTAACCCTTTGAGTGCAGAGTTTCAGCCCTCTGGGCTAGCCCACGCAGCCCCAGGCGGACAGCGATGCCTGGCTGACACAGAAACGGGGATACCCACCAGCATCCCACCACCCCGCCGGGACACAGCCTCCCACACATCCAGGGTGTGCAGAAGGGTCCTGGTCATGGCCTGTGGTTTCACCTTAGGCACCACCCCGAGCTGTGCCCACGGCACAAGACCATGGCCACAAATGCCCCGGCAGCACCGGGAAGACAGTTTGTCTTTGTTACATCTGTGTTATTATTATTAAGATGATGGAATGGAAGGGAAAACAGTCCTGACAAGCAGTATTGAGAACTTTACGCAAGAAGGATCAAAGGAAAGGACTTCATTTGACAAATCCCAAGTCCCTGACAAGTGCAGCACGTGCTAGGAGCAGAAGTCTTGTGCCAGCCTCAGTGAGGTCCTGGTCCCCACCAAGGGCAGCTTTGCCCCTTGGCAAGTGTCCCCATTCCCAAAGATCCCTTGGGGACTGGGGCTGCTGTGCAGTGCTGGTGGTGAGCGCCACAGTCCTCGCTGTGCTCCTGTTGGAAGCAGCATAGTCAGATGTAGAGAAAATCCATGGTGAAAGAAATGCGTTGTGGCACAGGGACCTGGCTCTTGGCACAGCCCCCATGTACGGTGCTGGGACCCCCACGGTCAGGCTCAGCAGTGCCGTGCAACCAGGCAAAGAGGTTGTGTGTCGGACCTGGCATTGGGTCCAGCCTCCAGCTCATCACCCCACACATCCCTGTGCT